TATTTAATTGATCACTTAAGTGTATATCTATATGCTAGTTTGTAATATTTAATTGGTCGAGTAAACTATTTTAGAATAGTTAGATCTGGAGGTCTAAGCCATATGTAACTTAACAGAGTAAGACGTCAAGGGGGTGGGGGGTTACATATGGGTTCATACGGCTGAGATGAATTTAATTGACCACCCCTAACATGATCCGAATTAAGGTCAGGACAAGCATTGACCGTTTATGTAAACATAACAGTTAGGGAGCAATGAGTTAATGCGGCAGAATTTATGCCTTTTGTTTTCTGAGCCGAATTAATGTAAAAATATAAATATACCTGGGAATGTGACCTATAGTCTATTGCGAGACATTTTATTTATTGAAGGAAACAGCTTTCCTGGATTCACACGAGAAATCCCTGAACAATCACAGGACCAGAACAAGTTCTGCGCAGAAATCTAAGTCCAGAGACGATTATTAAGACAGAGTTCGACGGACAAGAGTCCAAGACGAAAAAGCTAGACAAAGATCAGGGACGAGCGGAAGTCTTGATGACCGCATAAAATAGGTGATGAAGTCTCTCATCGTTGCACTCAAAGGTCACATCTCATTGGCAATGAAGATAGTAATTTAACGTTGAAAGTAATTTTACATTTTAAGAAATTTGTAGTCTTTTTATTTGAGTACATGTTAGTACCATTTTCCTTCTTTTGTAACCAAGTCATTGATTTCTTTTCATTTTAAATTCTGTTGATAAACTGATTAAATTTTATATTTGTTCATTGAAAGTGGGTTCGTCTTGTTATTTCTTCAATATACTTGTTCAGTGATCTGCATTCTTCTTTCTATCTTTCCACACTGGGTAAACTACACCGCGGAGGTCATTCCCTAGCAACGAACCGTAGTGAAAGAGGTTGGTGTGTTTTGAGCGCCACCAATTTGTCACTATATATATATATATATATATATATATATATATATATATATATATATATATATATATATATACAGAGAGAGAGAGAGAGCAAAGATGAAATGATATATTTCCAATTTTTTGTTACCTTAAAAATTCGTTCTCATGAGAGACAATATAAAACGATATGAGAAACAAACAAAAATAGTAATACAAGTAAATCAATATATATTTACTTTTCGGTACAGAGGGGAAAATCTATCCAGAATTGTGAAAAGGTCTAAACTGACATCTGGAATAAAAACAAAAAGAAATAACTGCATTTGAATTTATGGATCGCTGATGCATGTAAATGAAAAAGCTGTGCATTATTATTCACTTACAAGCGTAAATTCTGGGTATAAATGCCTTTACAAAAATCAAAGATCTGAATTATGTAGTTACAGTATAACAGATGGTGGTGGGAAGCGATAATATCTATGTATATAACAGAGTCCAAGGACACACTAGCATTATAGTGGCTTAATGAGCCAATTAGATAAAGCAAAACAAATGTAAACGCATAAATCTAATTAAAAATACTTTAAAGGTAAACCTTTCCAACCAAGCATAATGGGTTTAATAACCACTAATTGTAGACCATAGGAATTATTCGAGAAAACTCTTTTTATTCACCATCAAATACCTATGTCTTTCTATAATAAAACCTGGTAATAATTTATTGTTTCACTTATTCTTTTAAGCATCACACTAACCCTTTTGGACAAATTTTATTGTTCATTTTAAATCTTATAGGCAAAATAAAACAAACAATTGTGTTTCAGTTGACTCACCATTCATGTGTTTCGTTGCCCACTCTGGAGCTCACCCCACCCTATCCCTGGGGGTAAAAAGCAAAACCTGAAGATTTTTTATGCAGTCTAGTTGACGCAGTTAACGTATATCGCTTGCATTAAACAATGAGTATAACTTCATCACACTCAAGTCTTAATAATGCTGAATGCTTATCCACTGATAAGAAACTGCACAGCAATTCGTTTATATAAATCATTTCATAAATGTTTTACGAAATTATATCTGTATTTTTACTCTCCACATGGAAGTTTGTTAACTCTTATGTGTACTGCAACTTGTCATGTTGTGACTTCCTCTCAGTTTGAAATCCCACAATAAGGTACCCCCACCCCCACCCCATGATATACCTAATTATGAGGTCTGTCCAGTGTTGTATTCAGATACGCGAGAATTTGTTGGTTTAAGCAAAATAGCAATTGAACACTCTTCACTAATTGAAAATACCTTGTAACAATGTTAACAACTGATGATGCTGACATTCGAGACCTTTACGTGGCTACTCAACACAAATGGCTACTGGAAATAGCACAGAAATGTGAACTGAAACAAATAAAAACTAAAACACTGATGCGGACAATGTGACTAAATTCATGACTGACTTATAAACGAGATTTTAATCACGTGCTTTCATATTTGGAATACTGCCATCTTATCCGCATCAATGTGCTTTTGTTGTATCCAGAGAAGTATAACATTTGTTTTAGTTCTAATTTCTGTGTTGTTTCAAGTAGCCGTTTTTGTTCAGTAGCCACGTCAAGGTCAGTCTGTCAGTGTCATTAGTATTTAACATTTTTACTATGCATTTTCATTAGCCTAGTGAAGAATGTTAACTTGCTTTTTTCACTGCAAATATTTTGCAATGATCAACAAATTCTCTTGTATTTGTACAATACTAAACAGTCACAGATGTATAAAGTATAAGGTCTAGTTAAACAATGACATGTAAGCTGTGTATCTTTGAATTCCAGTAATGAAACATGATGGGTGTTGCAAACGTCTGCATCCTAAACTGTGAATGGAGCATATATTAAGACTTGACCTATGATGTTACGTGTTTCATACAAAAAGTATATTAATTAGTTTACAAGATCATCTTTTGAACTCAAAGTCAAGTCGATATCTTATTTACCATTTATAACATGACAAAGGTCAGCTAGGCATTAAATCCACAACCCTCAATTTTGAAGAAAAATTAGGCTCAAAATATAGATTTACACATCACTCTCCATTATTATAAAGACACTTCTGCCTGTCCAAATAATGGTAAGGTACTTCTCTTGTCCAAGAAACATTAAGGTATTTCTGCTTGCGTAAGTGTCATGAATTCTCAAGGCACTTATGTTTATTCATGTATGTTGTAATCCCATATACCTGTCCAATTATTCTGAAAACACTACAACCTGTCCAATTAATTGTTTGTTTGTTTGTTTGTTTTCTCTGGATCTTATTTTCATGTCATAATGTCTTGCAGACCACCCTTTTATAAAATCTTTTGATCTAAGCGATTTTGTATCTCTTGCATCTTTAAAACCTTTAATCCTTTCTCATCATTTATCTCTTTTTTTCCTCATATATCTCAAATTGCATGTCAAGTAATGTTAAGTCCCTTTCTATGAGGCACTTCGATCAAAAATTTTCAAGGGATTTATGCCTACCCTAGTAAACCTATGATATTTCTGCCCATCGATTCGTACGCGCTCTCATGGCACGTCTATCAAAACACCTTCTATGTTTTGTCAAGTCTCTTCTGTCTGCCCTTTCTATAATGTATTTCCGTCAAAAATGTATTTTCTTTTCAGCGATTGAGATTGTTAACCTACAAGGATTTAAATGCTTAACATATGATTATATCTGTTTACAATAAATGTATTCTTAAGGTACTTCAACAGTCTAAGTGCCAGCTTCTCTCACAATTTTGTAAGAGTACCGTGAACGGCACATTATACGCCCGCTTCACATTAAGAGTCCATTATGTATGCACTAGTAGGAGTTGTTGAATCTGAAGCTTATTAACCTAAAGGTCTCAATGAGACTCTAGCATTGATGAAGCTATGCGGTCTTCGACTTAATGTCCAGAATCCATCATTCACTCATTACAAGACCTTCAACCCTACACGTTTGAATTCTTGATCTATAAAATTCCTTTGTATCAGAACAGACGCATATCCACACAGTGTGGTCCAGGAACGTTCTCTGGAACTAAAGGTATTCTGCAATAGCTAGTTTTCTTTCAGCCAGCGACCTGCACTTTTGACCCTTTGACGGCAAATAAATAGGCCTTATAACCCAAAGACGGACAGGATTTTCCTTACCATAAATGCAAGCCATTCGGAACGCTGGGTAGATGTAGATAGTGAATAAATCTCGTTATTGTGCAGACACCATGCTTATAATTTCAGTCACTCTGATCTTGATGAGATGCTTCTTTATTGCTCCGAATCGCAAGCCAAACACTAAGTTAGTTAACATTAAATGATAAACAATTCAAGCCATTATGTGGAAATGTGTTCGATACAGACAAATGAGCAGATACCAGAATGAAGAACAGACATTTTCACATTATACACTCTTCTTTATGATGGGCCTACACAATATTCTTCATGCCTTATACACACTCTTCAAAACAAACTTGCGTGTTTAAACTTTTGTCTCATATCCAAATCTTACACTAGTATCTCTTCACACAACGAAGCCTAAAGCAATATTATCGCGATGTCAGTAGCACTCACGCCATAACCAGAGAGTAATAAATATAATTATCAGTCAGACTGGTTAACCGATAAAATCATATCCTGAGGTCAGTTCGACCAGTCTCAAATGTAAACAATGATACAGGATTTTGTGACACTTCTTTTATGCAAAACACAGTAGGATAGAGAAAGATAGCCATGCACAAATAAAATTATCATTTTCCAGCCGAAACATTTACTTTCAAATAATTCTCTAAATTTATTTATTAGTCACCTTCCCCCTTCCACGCAGAGCATGTAGTTGCTAATATAGCAATGAATATCCAGGATATAATTTGCACGGACAAAATTTTACATAAAATAATAGCTGTCGCAATGGCTTCATTTCTAGGTCATTATGAAATAGTTTCTAGCATCCTCACCAGGTTTAAGTAAACATGTTGAAATATAGCAAATTTGAACGTTCCATTCCTGTAGAAAAATATATGGAAAGTTTGACAAACACAACGATTTTTCTGTTTTATTTGTTTGTCTTTGTGCATGTTTTGTATATCATAACTACAACCGAACTAACTAGTGGGATTCGAACCCGCGCTCTTTCGATTGCGAGTCAGGGATGCTTACCATTGAGCCACTGCAGCTCCTACCTCAGTTAGTTACCTCTTCCAAAATGTTGATATAGGCATCAGACCAGTTGGTTTCAAGATTATCGAAAAGGTTTAAACTCATATTTTCATTCACATTTCTGTTGTGTAAAAAGCTCTATAACCATGGTAACTAAGAATAAAAAACTACCATTCTCCTTATATATTCATAATGTAGCTTGATTACCTGGGACACTGTTAGAATATAAAAATGTTCTCCAGTTTGCCCCAAACATATCTTCTATATTTACGATGAAATTATTTAATTCACATAATGCTAAAGATTATTTAGTTACATTTTCCGCTCCAAGGTTTCTAAAGAGCCTTTTTAAAATAGACGGACAAGAAATATCTTTATTTAAATAAAGATAAATATTTGCAAACTCTAATATTTTGAAGGACCAATTTATTACTGTTTTCATGAATCATCGACCGAGCACCAGTAACAATAAATTTATTAGCCAGAAAAACACTAACTGTACGTTCAATGTAAATATTTTCTTCACTATTGTATTATTCAATTTGTGGTATAAGACGTGCTCATGGAAGGGTAGTACCTCTTGTGGGGGTAGCAGTCTTTCTCCTGTGCAAGTAGCTAGTCCACCTTTGGTCCCCACTTGGCGCTTAGCTCTCACCTGTAGCTACAAGAAGCTGTAGTATGCTCAGCGGCCGCGCCGTGTGGAACGGCTTTGACCGACCGGCTAAACAACGCTGAGAGTAGCCGACGGGTCTAGAACCCTCGGTGAGTTAGGGCTTGTCACCCATATTATGCGAAGACTGGATCCGGCGGACTTTGCGCAGGAACCACCGGCTGCTCAACGGGCAGGAAAGTGGAGCCAACAAAGTGATGTAGAGCGCTATGAGCATGGCAAGACACACAAGACGCCTGATTCATTGACACAGGGCAATGCTGGGTGGCCTTCAAACAGCTGATGCACCCTACTGCATCTATACCATTGGCGTCACTACACAACAGCACCAAAACTGGTTTGGCAAGAACTATGAAGAAATACAGTCCCTGCAAGAGAAGAAACACCATCTCCACCGTGTGTTCAGCATTGATCCCAAGTCCACTACAAAAAGATGCCTCCCGCAGAGTCCGCCAAGCTATACGCGAGATGCAGGAAACATAGCTGAGCCGAAAGTCTAATGATATTCAGTCTTTTTCCGACAGACACAACATGAAATATATATATATATATATATATATATATATATATATATATATATATATATATATATATATATATATATATATATATATATGGTGCTCTTCGTGATGTTTATGGTCGAGTAACATCAGGCACAACCCCGGTCTTGAGTTCCGGTGTTAGCACTCTCATAACAGAGAAGAAGATATTGAAGCGCTAGGTGGAACACTTTGACGGTGCCTTCAACAAACCCTCTTCCAACAGTCTACCCCAGGTGGAGATCAACAAGAGATTGGCTGACCCTTTAACAGTGCTGAAAACTCACAAGGCCATTGAGCTCCTGTCTAATGAGAAAGTTCCAAGAGCAGACTCCATTTCAGCTGATGATATCTTCAAGTCTGGTGGATCTAAGCTTGTGGAAAGACTAACAGACATACTTTGTGGAATGTAGAAGTAGAAACCCATACCACAATCATTCAAAGATACATCCATCATCCACATTTACAAACGAAAATGAAATCGTCAATCATGCGACAACCACGAAGGACTCCCTCTACTTATGCATCACAAGCAATGTCCTCGCCAGGCTTCTACTTAACAGATTCACAGAGCACCTTGATTATGGCCTACTGCCAAAAAGTCAGCGTGGCTTCAGAAAGACGAGAGGCACCATCAACATATGATCTTTGCTGCCAATCAGATGCAAGAAAAGTGTCACGAACAAAATGTCCAGCTATACACCATCTTTGTTCATCTGACTAACGCATTCAACACTGTCAGTCGGGTAGGCCTTTTGAAAATCGTGGCCAACTGTGGAAGTCTTCATTGAAATGGTGAAGCAATTTTATGATAGCATGCTTGTCACAATCCATAACGAATGTTAACTATTCTGAACAGGACTAGAGTAACTAATCCGATCCCTTTGACTTAACAAATGGTATAAACAAGGATGCACCCAACATTCTTCAGCCTCATAATCTCCGGCATGCGTATGGACACTTACAAGGACATTGATGTGGACGTCCGTCTCAAATACCGTCTTGGTGGGAAGTTGTTCAACCTGAAGGAGACTTCAAGCCAAAAATTAAGCCCAAAATGAAAACATTCGTGACCTTCTTGTTTGCAGATGACTGTGCCCTCAACTCCATCACTGAGGCAGGCATGCAAGAATGCATGGAACACTTTTCCACCAAATTTTAAATCACCATCTCCACCAGTAAGACCGAAGTTCTGCATCAGCCAGCTCCTGGTAAAGACTATCTTGACCCATCCATCACTATTAATGGCCAAAAGCTAAAACAATGTGGACAGATTTACGTACCTATGGCAGCACAAAATCACAATCATTCCACATAGGCTATGAGGTTAACACTAGGATTGTCAAAGCCAGTATAACATTTGTCAGACTCCTCTCAAATGTCTTGGATTGGAGAAGCATCACGCTTGCCACCAACCTCAAAGTCTACTCAGCGGTTGTTCTCCCCACCTCCTCTACGTTTGTGAGACTTGGACTGTGTATAGCCACAATGTTAAAAAAAACCCTGACACACTTCCACCTGATCTCCTTGAGAATACTGCTGAGGACCAGATGGCATGACAAGGTAACGAATACAGTGGTGCTCATTCAGGCCGGCATGACAAGCATCCACATCATGCTGTCCAAAGAACAATTACGCTGGGCTGGCCATGTTGTTCGCATGCCGGAAAAACGCCTACCCAAGAAGATATTATATCGAGAGCTACGGCAAGGTAAGAGATCTCACAGGGGTCAACAAAAGAGGTACAACGACACCCACAGGACATCGCTGAAGAATTTTGGCATTGACCCTGACAGCTGGGAGAGTGACACTGCTGATCTATCTGCTTGGCGCAATCAATTCAATGCCAGTGCGGCAGCCTTTGAGCAGAAAAGTCTGGCGAACGAAGCTGAAAAACGTGCCAGACGCAAATCCATAAAAAGTAGTTACGCATCTCCCAGTCAGCAATAACCACACCCATGTGTTCACTGCAACAGCCTCCTTCGGGCCCGGATTGAACTGATCAACCGTCTTCGGACCCAACCAAAGTGAATCTATGACATGAATGGACCTCATCAACACCGATGGACGAACTTCATCATTCACGTTGTCCATTCAAGAATGTGCCAGGGTATGCAAACAAACTGTTCTTCTTCAAATTACATGATTAGATTCAAATTGTATGTGTTATATATATATATATATATATATATATATATATATATATATATATATATATATATATATATATATATATATATATATATATATATATATATATATATATGACCGGCAACCCTCTTTATTGCTATAAAATAAGCAAATACCAACATGTTGAATGTATGACCAGTTTCGCCTATATTCACACACACACACACATATATATATATAAATATAAATATAAATATATATATATATATATATATATATATATATATATATATATATTTATATTTATATTTATATATATATATGTGTGTGTGTGTGTGTGTACATACATATGTGTATATAGGTTTATATATATATATATATATATATATATATATATATATATATATATATATATATATATATAGAGAGAGAGAGAGAGAGAGAGAGAGAGAGAGAGAGAGAGAGAGAGAGAGAGAGAGAGAGAGAGAGAGAGAGAGAGAGAGAGAGAGAGAGAGAGAGAGAGAGAGAGAGAATATTCGATATTAACCGAAAGGAAATGTTTGTAGCTAATGGAAACACTGGATTGGAGGGATATATGGTTTTATGAAAGCGGATGACAAGGTACAAGAAAATTGAATTTCATCTTGGTATTAACATGGACATTTAACTCCAAGCGCCAATCAAATTAAGCAATAGATTTAGTGCTGGTTAATGTATACATATTTAAAACACGAGACAAAACCGAAACATGTGTCTCATTATCTGCTTTACACATGCTTGATGATTAGTTATAAAGTTATAAAGAAAAACGGGGGAGCGGTAAACAGTGCAATAACCACACATTACAAGAACTTTTAAATTTCATTTCAGCAAATGTAGAAATAGATAAATATAAAATTAATGTTTTAGAAAATACTAACAGACTAGATTTCATCATGGAATTCTGTAATACATTCATATTTGACACTGGTTTTTTACGTTTCAATTAATATGCACAAACAAAATGCTGAAAGCTAGCTGCTTTGGTCTCACGCTAAGGACAGACTGATATCTACTGACTGTTAACAGATTGTCCCAGATATGCGGCACAATCGAGAATAAGTCTAGTTCAATCCGGGGGGTGAGGTGGGTAAGGAATCGATCTACATTCGTGTGCACAAATCGACGCTGAACAGAAGAAACGGGGCTCTTACAACTTTTCGTATATCTGGAAGAATCTGTAAACATCGTTCACCATTCCATCGAGTGATATTAAGTCAGTAGAGATTCAATCAATTTGATCATGAAGTCTTTGCTTAAGGGCGAAAGCTTTAAGTTAGCTTTCCCTATTTTGTTTTTGAATGTTGGTTGACAAGTTAAACACATTGTTAAATATAAAAATTAGTAATAAACAGATAAGCTTTCACCAAAGTATATAATACTTTGTTTTGACTTCGTAAAATAATATTATACCATACAATAAATATTTCAAATCTGAACTCCCGAGTTTATATATATATATATATATATATATATATATATATATATATATATATATATATATATATATATATATATATATATATATATATATATATATATATATGTGTGTGTGTGTGTATGTGTGTGTGTGTGTGTGTGACAAATGGCGGGTTGTTCAGTGGTGGACATTAACGAATATTGTTGTTGTAGTTGTTCT